TAATTCATATCCTTTGAGTACACCATGTTGGCTTGGGTCATATAAGCATGTCTAACTCCTTTGCTCTTATTGTCAAAAGCTTATATGAACCAAGCATGTTGAAAACCTCACTCATCTCTTTTACATACTCGAGGTTGTGTTGTCATCAATCACCAAAAAGGAGGATATTGAAAGCATCTAGGCCCCTAGATGGGTTTCAGTGATTAATGATAACACGGGATTACTATGACTAACATGTGTTTTGCAGAGGCAATTAAGTTAGGTCATGGTAATGGAAATTGATTGGGCAATCATGGTGGTCATGCCCCTGACGATGAAAATCATTTCGGTTTTCAAAGGATGGACGACAAGGTTAAGGATGGACTAGTTCTAAGTGTCGTTTAGTGTTGAAGAGACACTTAGAGTAGTTTAGGACTTTGTTTTTTCTTTGGCCATACTATTAAAGAGGGTATGGACTAGTAGCTTGACCTAGGTGAGTCTAGTGGGTTAGGTATGGTGCACACTTGTCAAATCTAGCACTAGGTAGCTCCGGAGTAGCCCTAAGATCAATTGGAGCAAACTTCATTCATATATGATTTCGAGCTGGAAGTGAATGGAGGGTCAAATGACTGACTGCACGTTGGTCAGGTTGTGACCGGACGCTGAAGGGTGAGTCTGGTCAGTTCATTTGATCAACTGGAGTCGTCTGGTTGCGACCAGACGCTGAGTGAAAAGTGATCGGCCGCTAGGTGCCTGCATCCGGCCAACTCCTGATCGGACGCGTCCGGTCAGTGCTGACCGGACGCTGGTCGGGATCCGGTATCTGACCGGACGCTGAACAGCGAAGTGACCGGACTCTGGGTGCCAGCGTCCGGTCAACATCAGTAAGGTTCCAGAAAGCAGTTTTCGTGACCGGACGCGTCCCGGACGCATGTCAGAGTCCGGTCAGAACTTAACGGCTCTTTCTCACACAGTGGCGGGGATAACTGACCGGAGCGTCCGGTCACCCCATAGAGTGATGACTCAGCCTCCAAACGTTATGTTTTGAATGAGGGGGTATAAATACTTACTCCACTCGTCCAAGGGAGGTCTCTTGCCTATTTATTCCGCTGAGAAACACCCTTGAGAGTGCAAAGGAGAGAAAGATCCTAGTGAGGTGATTGAAATTTGAGAATCCAAGATTAAGACCCCATTAGTGCAAGGAGAATAGCAAGTGTGCATCCACCCTTCTCATTAGTCTTGTCGTGGTCAAGTGAGAGTTTACGCTTGTTACTCTTGGTGATCGCCATCACCTAGACGGCTTGGTGGTGATTGGGAGTTTGGTGATCATTCGGCGGAGCTTGTAGATGACCCAACTCAAGTTGTGAGCGGTTGTGGGCGATTCACCGTGAGGGAGTGTCGAAGAATCAGCTCGTAGAGAGCACTTGATCCTTGCGCGGATCAAGGGAGAGTTACACCCTTGCGCAGGTGCTCCAACGAGGATTAGTGGGGAGTGGCGACTCTTCGATACCTCGGCAAAACATCGCCGCGTTCCTTTCCCTTTCTTTACTTTACGCATTTATATTTGAGCAATTTATTTCTTGTCTTTACATTCTTAGAATTGCCATGCTAGAGTGGGATTGGAACCTATGGTGCAACACTTTTGTGCTGTAGAACAATAGAAACACATTCTAGGCATAAGGGGTGAAGTGGGCTAAGTGGAGGGTTTAATTATTGCAAATAATTTTAGAATTAGCCCAATTCACCCCTCTCTTGGGCATCTTGATCCTTTCAGGGTCACCGGTGGCGGCGACAGCGTCAGTGCCGGTGAGGATGGTGTGGGCCCCACGTGCTAAGGCGGCGACCGCGAGACGTACTGGAGCCCACGGGGCTGGGGGGCGGAGGTAGGGAAGCCGACCTCAGGCATCGGGACGCCGGGCGGGGGCGGGGAGGCGGCGAAATCCGCTCCTTCGCCGGATCCCGCGTGGATTGACGGGGTGGGGAAGGTAGGGGTGGTGGAGGGGGAGGGGGGTGCTGACGCCTGGATGGCAGCCGCCGGTGGCGGCAGGGATTGCCTCATCGCTAGGGTTGGGGGTGGGAGCGTCCGCACTCCGGCTTGACGAAGTTGAGAATGCAGAAATGCTCTGGTCACTCATTAACCCTCTCATCAAGTACCTAATGGCCGTTATATACTACTATTTCCACTTTGTACCGATGCCTTTCATTTCATTATCCTTTGACACTCTAGACTACTAGATATCTATCCAATCCAGACTCCAGGAGGCCAGTGCAGCTTCAGAACCAGAAAACCTTACCATACTTCCAAAAGAAATACTAAAGTAGGGGCCCCTAAAAAGTGAGAGTACGCGTATGTGACTGTAGCGTAGCATATGCTGCTGCTGTTTTGCATGCTGCCCTACAGGAGCAAACACAGTCCATATTCGTGGATGGCAGAGCATCTTCAGAGACGCACACTTTTGTGGTGGGCTGGTGGCATATACTTACTTGCAGTTGCATGCCCTGCCATGTACGTACGCACTCCTATGTAGGAGTATCATATCTCAACAAATATTTCTTCGATCGCCTCTGGTCCACTCGAATCATACGCCCAAATTAAACTTTGTGGTATCGCCCTATACAATTTAATTTTGAGAAAAAAAATGTATGGCCGGTCTTCGAACTTGTCTGCCTCACCGCTGTCACTTACCTCCCTCTGTGTCGCACTACCATAGCCAATGTCGTCACCGCCGCCTAGCGCTTCTCGCCAGCCACCGTCCGGCCCAGCTTAGTGTCCGCGAGCACTAATAGACTGCAAAGCTCAACCCAGCCATTGATGCCCACTGCCCATGAAGAAGAAGATAGTTTTTTAGGTGAAACAAACTCTAAAAAGTCTATAAATGTTCATCTATTTTTATATGTTTAGGCCATCTTACACGTAATTCCCTCCAATCTAGTATTGTGTGAGGCAATCCGGTCTTATCTTGGCCCGCACCTGTCAGGCCGGCCTCACAAGTCATCTCCATGCTAGCAAACACTCAACGTGCCACATCAGCGCGTGGGCACGGCCTAGACCCATTTGGATGGCCACTGAGACCCAACACATAGATTAACGGCCTAAAACGATGCAATTTCAGAGTATGAGAGAACCCGATGTGACATCCTCTAACAAGTTTGAGGATCAAGACGGTGCAATTTGTGAGTACAAGAACCACGATGACACGTCCAAACAAGTTTGAGGATCGGCCATGTAGTTTAGTCTTTATTAATCTTTATATATAAGTTCAATGCCATCAAATCATCCAAGTCAAAGGTTAGCCTATTGTCAGCAGTCAAACTCAATGCATAATTACGAATCCCGTCTTGTGCTGCATTTCTCTGTTTCTATCGATCTCGTGAACTAACTGTAAGCATTGCATTGCAGAGGCACATGCAACGGGCCAACCACACAGGCAGCTAGCACGTAGGCAGCTAGCTGTAAGCTGACCCCGGGGCATATGAAACTGATGCCTTGTTTAGATTGCCTTAAAATCCCAAGTTTTTTCACTCTCTCTTCATCACATCAATTTTTAGACGTATGCATGGAGCATTAAATATAGGTAAAAAAAAACTAATTACACAGTTTGGTTGTAAATCACGAGACGAATCTTTTAAGCCTAGTTAGTCCATAATAAGACAAAGTTTGTCAAATACAAACGAAACATGCTACAGTATCCAAATTGTAAAAATTTGCAATCTAAATAAGGCACGAGAAAAAATGGCAGCTTTCTTGAGCCAAGCACCCAACCGTTTCCATGACCGTCGGCACGGCAGGAAAGAAGGAACGAAAATAAAGCAAAGCATATTTTGTTTGTTGTCACCTTTGCCTGGCCACTGTAAACCTTTTCAGTCCTGCGCGCAGGAGCCCTCCCTCCCCCTCCTGCCTCCTGCCTCCTGCTCTGCTCCTCCTGAGTCCTGAGCTCTGCTGAGCTCCCAGGGGAACAGCGACAGCAATGCGCGGCTCGCACCCCAACGCGCGCATTGCTCTGCTGGCCTGCCTGCTGTGGCTGTGCAGTGCTAACTGGGGAGGTGGGAGAGAAGAGGGCGAGAGGGGGTAGACAGAGACAAGAGATGGGAGAGGTCAGGGGAGAGCACGAAAAGATGCGAAGGATGCGTGCGTGTCTCGCTGTCTCTGGTAGAGTAGCACGGGAGGCCGGCCAAAAGCTGGGATCGAGCAAATCTTGGCCGCCTGCACGCCTAATTATCCCTCTTCACCCACCATTGTCGTCTCCTGTCGCTTCCTCCTCTTCTCTTCGACTGGTACGAGCACCGTTTAGCATCGCCGTCAGTGACTGATCAATCGTCTCAGCTGTTAACCGACATTGCTTTCTTCTCCTCTGCTAACAGAGAAGGGTTAACTAGCAAGCGCCTGCTGCTGCTACCTCAGCTTTTGCGTGTGCCTAGCTCCATTCCCGTTTCTAGTTCTAGCCCCGCGGACCGGAATCTCCCTCCCGAGCCGGACTCCCTGCTTTCCATCGTCTTCTTGCTAGCTTGTCTGTCTCCACTAGCGACCAACAGCTGCTGCTGCTGCGCGTTGGCGAGTGCGTGGTTCACGAGCGAGCGAGCGAGCTCCCCAAGTCCATTCGGGCACGGCAGCAGCCGCTTTGCTTGCTTGCTTGCCGCCGCCTCCTCGATCATTTTTTGTTGGCTTCTCTTTGGCCTGGCTAGCTGTTCTGTTCATTCCGTCCGAACATAGAACACGAGGTGGGAATTGGAGGCGTACCAAGGCAGCAGAGGTCACTAGTGATTTCACACACACATTTCTTTTTTCTTTAACAAGCTCTCTTTTCTTGCTCTTGTTTTGTTTGTCCTTCCTGTAATAACTCTGCCTGCCTTCGTCCCCTGGTCTCTTTCCTTCTTCCTGCACTGCAGGGTACTATAAGAGTAGCTAGCCCTGCCCACCATCTTCAGCCGCGCACACCGTCTCGCTCGTGCAGTGTGCTTGCCAACTTTGGAGACATAGAAGAGAGAAGAGGAGAGAGGTCGCAGGAAGGAGGATTGCAGAGATGGGGGACGCACCAGAGACCAGCAAGACCCTTCGCAACTGGATGGGCGAGCTGAGGCCGAGCGACCAGGGCGACGACGAGGAGACGCTTCAGCTCAGCCTCGGCCTCCCCGGAGGAGGCGGAGGAGGAGGAGGAACTGGGGCTGGGCTGCCACCCGCCGCCGCCTGGAGAATGCTGTCGGCCAGAGAAAAGGAGATGCGCTCTGCTGCTGCTGCTGCTGCTGCTGTCGACACCTCCATGCTCTCTCTCGGCTACTCCGCCCCAGCTTTCTCGCCCCGCTCACCAGGTACGCCCAGCACGGTTCCAATTGGACATGGATGCTACCATGTATGTACCATCTTATTCTTTGGATCATGGTCTTATAACAGGAAAAAAAAACGTACCTGGAATTCTGGATCATCACACTGCAGCTCTCACTAGTCTCAGTAGTAACATTCCAGTCAAATGTTAGTTCTTCATTTGCTTGCATTGCATTATTAGGTAACAGAGTGCTAGCTAGTCTTACGAATAACTCTTGAAATACGATGAGAACATCGCCCTGTTCGCTAGAGCTTATTCGAACTACTTTTTAGCAATGGAATAGTGATTGATTCCTCTCACAACATTTCAGCATAAACATTAGCATAAGTCAAATTTCAGCATCAGCGAACAGGGATATCTTTGCTCACTCAAATTTAAGCTCTTAGGTAATAATTAAGAGCGTTCAAGCAGAAAAGTTCTTGAAAAGTTGTCGCTTGACACATATGAGCACAGAGCGTTTGATATATTTTTTTTGGTTCACAAACTTAGCTTACAGAGGAGTTGATCAAGTTAAAAAAATATGTAGAGTCTGGTTTCAAAGATTCCTGTTTTTCAATCAACACCTATAGAGGAGCCTATACGTTTGCAACAATACGTTTGTGTGGTGAACAACTGTTCTTTCATAGCACACAGCAGTTGTAAGTAAATTCTTTTTATTTCATAGTAGTAGTATGAGCTAAGCAGTTGAGACTTTGCAAATTGAACTGAGATCCCATGAATGCACCCCCGTTCATTCTGTTTGATCCTACGATCTTGTTCTGCATAAAGTTGTGTATGGCCTTGTTTAGATTACCTCAAAGTTCCAAGTTTTTTCACTCTCTCTCCATCACATTAATTTTTGGACGCATGCATGGAGCATTAAATATAGGTAAAAAAAGTAACTAATTGCACAGTTTGGTTGTAAATCACGAGACGAATCTTTTGAGCCTAGTTAGTCCATGATCGGACAAAATTTGTTAAATACAAACGAAACATGCTACAGTGTCCAGATTGCAAAAATTTGCAATCTAAACAAGGCCTATGTTTGTTTCTTCCTTTGTTTTTGAGTCAGTTGCAATGAAAGTGAAAAGTTCTCAGCATGTACTCTTGTTTCTTTTTCCTTGTTCTTGTGCAGGCAAGGCAAAGGGGTCCCCAGCAGCGGCTACAGAGAATGCCCGGCTTGCATCCACCAACAACGCCTCCCAGGCAAGGCAAAGGTGGAAATCAATCATGACACCTCACATGCCAAATTCCGCAAGGAATTCTTTTTCTTACCAGCCTTTTTAGCAGCAAGAGTTGGCATGGAGTAGTCCTGTTCGAAATCTTATGCCCCCAATGATTTCTTTATTCTTCCCGTCTGCCCCGGCATGAGTTTAAGAGGGAGGTGACTCCATCTCCTGCACTGCACTGCAGCTGCTCATTCAATTCATGGCAATACAATCCAGGATTCAAGGGGCTTGTTTGCATCTGCCTGCTCCATGTATATGCATGGAGCTGGATATGGAGATGGAGCTCCTCCCATTTATGAGGGATGCAGTGTTTTTGACCCTGTGCTCTGTTCTTTCATTTGTCCCTAGTCCGCAGTGGCATCTTGCCTCTCTCTGTTTAGTACTCTGGTTCATGGCCAGAAGTTAACCATATTGTGTTCCCACACATAACTTTGTTTAGGTTGTGTACATTAGGAGCTATTCAGCCTGACCTAAGACCATGAATCATTTCCAACAGAATGCCAACAGGAGCTCTGTCTCTAGCTAATTCAGTTTGGAAAAGGAAAATAATAGTAATAAACGGGTATATGTTCCTTCTGTTACAGAACGCCACAAGCCTTTAGATTTCGAGCCCTTAGTATCTGTTCTAAACATGAATCATTTCCAGGAAGCAACCGGTCTACAATTTTTCATCTATCAGCGTATCATAATGCATGTCTGTATATGCATTCACTAGCAGGAACTTCTGTGTCTGCCAATTGTAGTTCTTTGTCCAATAATTAACTACTCTGCTTCATTCTCATGTCTCGCCGTTTCATGGTCCAACTTCAGGTCTCCAAATACCCCGGTTATTGGGTGGCCTCCGGTTCGTGCATTCAGAAGAAATCTGGCTACCTCTAGCAAAGCATCCCTTGAACATCAGAATGGGAAGAAAGCAGACAAACCTGAACAGACTACAAAAAGAGCTCCATTTGTAAAGATTAACATGGATGGCATCCCTATTGGTAGAAAAATCGATCTGAATGCCCTTGGCAGTTACGACGAGCTGTCTCTGTCTGTTGACAAGTTATTCCGGGGGCTTCTTGCAGGTACTATGAACCTTTGTTGTTGACCTTTATTTATTATAACTTTATTTATGGTAAGTATATGTTCAGACTTTCCCCTTGTACTTAACCAAGAAACCATAAAGTTGTTTCTGTGCTAAGTAACTTTTAGTAGTTTGATTGAATGGTCAAGTTGTTTGGTCTGTGTCTGATGCAATTTGCTGAATTCTTATATTTCTATGTGTAGCACAACAAGACCCTCTGGATGCCGGCACGAAGGAGCGTTCACAGGAAGAGGTGGCAATATCGGGTTTACTAGATGGAACTGGGGAATACACTCTGGTTTATGAGGATTATGAAGGTGATAGGGTGCTGGTTGGTGATGTCCCCTGGGGGTAAGTGTTCCTCCTTGTCAGCATTTGAGCGATACATCAAACTGTGTGTAGGGATAATAAACAATATAGATGTGTTAAAATCTGATAGAAGTGCCTATAAGCTACCATTTATAATTTCAGACTAGTACAACAGGACAGTAACGAGGTTTATATTGCCGATCTGATATACTAGATTCCAAATTCTTGCATACCTATTTTGTACAGACAATTGTGCCTAAAGTTGAATTTTTGTCACTTTCAGTTATAGGTTTGTTTACTGCAAAACGACTTACTAGTATGATAGCCGATACCTGCAGGATGTTTGTTTCTTCGGTGAAGAGGCTGCGAGTTCTGAAGACATCTGACCTCTCTTCATCTGTCAGTATCTCTAACTCACTGACCATATCTTCCATTACCTTGACTGCCTTCAGATTGCTGATGACCTCACATTCCCCTTGCAGCTAACAGCATCAGGCCGGAAGAGGACGGTAACTGAGTGTTGAGTGTTTACCTCTTAGACACTTCCAGTGATGTTGATGTGCTGTGAAGAAGAAAATGTCTTCTGAGCTTGTATCACCTTTCTTTCTGGTTTCTTCCTTTTCTTTTGCCTACTCTCTTGGAAGGGATCATCAAAGAACCGACCTTTTGGGTTTTCCTGCTCTTATCTATCTTGCTTCTGCCTACGAGGCTTCCGAGAAGCGATGTGTTTGCGCAATTGAAGTGGCTGTATGTAAATGTTCAGACGAATCAGCGCTATGTTTATGCAGCCTATTCTGTTTGTTGCCTTTGACGCACTGAGGAGATGTACTTCTGTTTGATGCCTGATTATTGTTAGAGGAGTCCTGACTCCAGTGCATCTCATTACCTTTTTTTCCCCCTTCTATTTAGCCGTCTCAAAAAAATCAATCTCTACCTCTAGTCTAGAAATTGATTTCTAGAGGTAGCCCTCTAGAAATTGTTTTCCAAAGTTTGTAAATCGGGCTGAAAAATAGAAAAAAAAATTCAACCCAAGAAAAGGCCTCCAGCAAACTCCGCGTGGCAAGTCATAAGTGATAAGTCACGCGGTTTTCATACGAAATACACGTGTGCAGCCACGAGCTCGGACAATGCTTTTCTTAGGACTGTGACTTAAAGTCACTGCTGACCTAGTGATTCATACATTCCTTGTATATACACTATACTGAATATTATAATACATATTTGAGATGCTAAACGAACTCAAATAAAACTATTTAAACTAGAAAGTTTTATATCTCTTCAAGTACTACAGCTTTGGTATAGCCATCTTCATCTTAGGCCATTTGAATAAATCAAGAAAAATATGAATTACAAAATCATCAATTTTAAACCAGAATTTCTAGGCCAAATGACTTCAAATGAAAAGGTCACCAACTAAAATGTTACATATCTCTTTGAGTATTATAACTTTGGTTTAGGTCATTTCTTCGTTCGAGGTATTTAAAAATTCAAAAAATATCAAAATCTAAAAACTTAAAACAAAATTCCTAGACACTAAATGGTTTCAAACCGAAAAGTAGTCAACTATAAAGTTCCAGGTCTTGAGTACTGTAGTTTTGGTTTAGGTCATTTCTATATTCGAGGTAATTTGAAAATTTTAAAATATTATATTTGAAATTTGAAAAAATAAAACTTATTTTTTGGGCCTTAAATGATTTAATGGAACAGTCTTCAACTTTAAAGATACAGATCTCCTCAAGTACTACAAATTTAATATAAAATTTGTCTTCATCTGACTTGATTTGAAAACAAATATAATTTTTATTGTATTGCACCTAATTTTAGAGGCGGACCAAATTGTTAATTGCCTCTAGAAATCTGTTTATAGAGAGGGCTGAAATTCCCAACTGTGTGCCTTCATTTCTAGTGGCGTCTGTTAAGCACCCTACAAATGACATTTCTAGAGGTGATTCGACTTGCCAGTCACCTCTAAAAGAGTAAATTGCACGGCTAGTCCTTAAAGTATTGGGCTGATTTCGTCTGGGTCCCCAAACTATTAAATCACACAGTTGACTCCCTAATCTACTTAATCCGGCCCATGTAGGTCCTAAACAGCCCAGACGGTGTCAAGGCTGTCGACGTGGCTGTCCACGTACCCCCAAGCCCCCGGTCGGCCACGTCCCCGTCCCGGTAGCCGCGCCCCTAGGCCCAGCCTCGAGCCCAGTCCCGACGCGGCGATGGAGTACCGGTCCCATGCCCCCGAAGGCGGCGTCTCCCGCTCGCACGAAGCCGGTAGCCGCGCCGCGCCGCTGGTGGCCACGCGTAGCCCTGGCCACCGCGCCGCTCATGACCGGCGCCCGCGCGTGGCCCTGGCAGCCGCGCCCGCGCTTGTCCGTCGCTCGCAGGACCCGGCCGCGTGGCAGCTTGTGCTCGGAGGCGTACGCAGCTGCGCCCGGCGGCCACGCGCTCGCCCCGTGCCCCAGCGGCCAAGGCAGCTCCCAACGGCGCCCACATCCGGGGAAGGCCGTGCTCACGAGCTCCGGCGACTGCGGTCCGGCTTCCCTCCCCCAGGCAGCTCCCGGCGTTGCATCTTGGCAGCGTACACGGCTGCGCCTCGCGGACGCGCCCAGTAGCTCCAGGCGGCCGTAGCTTCCCGCGTCCCGGCGACCCACTCGCACGCGTGAGCTCGCCGCCAGGATGGACGCGGCGTGGAAGGAGGACCGGTGGCTCCTGTCGCAGTACCTTGACGAACGGAGGAGCCCGGGCTCGCCGGAGCCGATGATGCGGAGCGAGCACCGGCTGGCCGACCTCCTGACCGCGCCGCGCGGGAAGGTGCACCCGACGTCCGTGCTCCTGCAGGGCGACTTCCACGTCCGGAGGCAGCTGGTGGGCAACCTCAACGAGGTGCAGTGGATGGGGGAGGCCTTCGCGGTGAAGCACTTCGTCGGCGCCGACGCCGTGGGCGTCGAGGCCGCGCTGCTCACCTCCGTGGCGCACCTGAACGTGGCGCACTGCCGGTACTGCTTTCACGATGAGAATAATCGTTGTGCCGTCGTTGGCATATATGCACGCAGAGGGGTACTGCTGGGCGCGCACGGCGGAGCGGCAGGCGTCGCGGATGCGGGAGCGGTACCTGCGGGCGGTGCTCCGACAGGACGTGGAGTACTTCGACCTCAAGGTGGGGTCCACGTCGGAGGTGATCACCAGCGTCTCCAACGACAGCCTCGTGGTGCAGGACGTGCTGAGCGAGAAGGTGCCCAACTTCGTGATGAACTGCTCCATGTTCCTGGGCAGCTACGCCGTCGGGTTCGCGCTGCTGTGGCACCTCACGCTGGTGGCGCTGTCGTCCATGCTGCTTCTCATCATCCCCGGGTTCATGTACGGCCGCATCCTCATCGGCCTCGCGCGCCAGATCAGGGAGCAGTACACCCGCCCCGGCACCATCGCCGAGCAGGCCATCTCGTCCGTGCGCACCGTCTACTCGTTCGTAGCCGAGCGCACCACCATGGCGCAGTTCTCCGCCGCGCTCGAGGAGTCGGCGAGGCTCGGGATCAAGCAGGGACTCGCCAAGGGCGTCGCCATCGGCAGCTGCGGCATCACCTTCACCATCTGGGTGTTCAACGTCTGGTACGGCAGTCTCCTCGTCATGTACCACGGATACCAGGGCGGCACCGTCTTCGCTGTCTCCGCTGCCATTGTCGTCGGTGGCCTGTACGTGACCGTGATTTTATCATTAGTCTGCTCTGCTGCATGTTTCTCCTAGTCCTAGATGATGATGTGATGACGGCGCCATTAACGAAACCATGCAGAGCTCTGGGGTCCGGGATGTCGAACGTCAAGTAATTCTCCGAGGTGAGCTCGGCGGCGGAGAGGGTCCAGGAGGTGATCCAGCGGGTGCCCAAGATCAACTCGGAGAGCAGCGCCGGCGACGAGCTGGCCAACGTCGCCGGGGAGGTGGAATTCAAGAACGTGGAGTTCTGCTACCCGTCGCGCCCGGAGACCCCGATCTTCGTGAGCTTCAACCTGCGCGTGCCGGCGGGGTGCACGGTGGCGCTGGTGGGCGGCAGCAGGTCCGGGAAGTCGACGGTGATCGCGCTGCTGGAGCAGTTCTACGACCCGACGGCCGGGGTGGTGACCCTGGACGGCGTGGACATCCGGCGGCTGCGGCTCAAGTGGCTGCGCGCGCAAATGGGGCTCTTCAGCCAAGAGCCGGCGCTGTTTGCGACGTCGATCCGGGAGAACATCCTGTTCGGCAAGGAGGACAGCCACGTCGACAGCCTTGACACCGCCTGGGCTGTTTAAGACCTATATGAGCCGGATTAAGTAGATTGGGGAGTCAACTGTGCGATTTAATACTTTGGGGACCCAGACGAAATCAGCCTAATACTTTAAGGACCGGCCGTGCAATTTACTCCCTCTAAAAATAGCTAGCATTTCTAAAGATGGCCGGAAATTTCATTCACGTTTAAAATCAATTTCTACAGGAGTGGTAGACTAAAACTATTTTTAGAGACAGATTTAATAGAACCATCCCTACCGAAAAAAGGTGCCTCTAAAAATTGATTCTACTAGCTAGTGTGCAGTGCAAACAATTGAGTGGCAGTGCTCCCGCATGCAACGTGTCCAAGCCATGTCAACGTGGGGGCATGGGTTCAGGCTCGTTTGAACAACGTGTAAGACTCGAACAGACGGTGACACACTATAACATGATATATCTGGACAAGTTTGAGTACAAGACATGGACTTTAATGAAAATCAGGTGTGAAACCACGTGGAAGTACTCTACATACCACAGTTTTTCACGAGCAGTCAAGAAATTGAGTAAGTAACGATTAATAATGGATCCGGCAACGCAACACTCAAGCGTTTTATGCTCTCTCGGCACTTGATTTTTTTTCTTTGTATCTTCTTCCTCCCCCGGCGCGCCGCCGCCACGCCGTGGCACGGTAGGGTCTCACTGGAGCTCCACGGCCGCGGAGCTCCAGCAAGACCTTACCGCACCCGCGGCGACCTCCTCTCCCCTCGCTGCCATCATGGCCATGGTCGCCCCCTCTCCAACCTGGCTTGGCCGCCTCCTACACCGCCCGCTCCGGTGGCATCACCCCCACCTCCGCCTCGCTGTCGTCTCTCCCATCCCGCCGCCTGGCATGCCTGCCTCCAAAAAAATTCTTCTAAGCCCACCGGAGATGAAAAGAAGAGAGGGAGAGGAAGAGAAGAGAGAGAATAATCGAGTGTTACAACACTTTGAGTGTTGTATATCATTTCTCTTAGGGCCTGTTTGGATGATTGGAATTGAATTTATTCTAATAATTACAATTTAGGCATAGATATATATGGAATATATCTGTATATTTATTGTTAGGCATACAGGGGACATACTTATATGTTCTATTTCTATTGTAGAGAAGTGAGTTGAAAAGTGTGTTATATGTTGGAGAGTAGAATTATAGCATGGTGATCTATAGAATTCATTTCTATCTCCCACCCTATGAATTTGAGGTAGGTTTATTTGTGAGCTTGGGAAAGTTATGGAATATC